CACACACACACACACACACACACACACACACACACACACACACACACACTGTAAATAAAATAAAAAATTTGAAAATGGACTATTTTATGCTTTGGTGTGTAGTCTTCAAGCACAGGCATGCTAATCTTCTCTGAATAGTTTCAGTTTTAGTATCTTGCCATCAAAATGCATGAAAGAGACATTTTCTAACAAACACTTGAACTATTCACTATTCATATCAAAATGTTGTGCTCACAGCTAGGCTGGAATGGGAGGAGCTGATAAGAGTTAAGAAAAAAGTCTCAGTCAGTGACAACTTTTATGAAAAACTTCACTCTCTCTTCATTAACATGTCTCCCATAGTTTACTACGACAAACTTTTTCAACAATAGCTACATTGAGATATAATCAACACACCATACACCATGTAGTTGGTGTGTGATTCCTCCATTTGTTACCCCCCTCAGTCTCTATCAATCGCTTTCTATTTTCTCTCTATATATGTTTACTTAGTCTGGGCATTGCATACTAGTGGAATCCTATTAGATCTTTTGTGACTGGTTTCTTTCTTTGAATGTAATGTTTTCAGAGTTCATCTACATTGCAGTGGGTATTGTTACTCCATTCCTTTTCTAAGTGAAATAATAGTTCAATATATATATATAGTTACCTTGGCCTTTTGATGGGGCAGCCCTTAGGTGGCTGGAGTAGACAGAACAGAATACTGGGAAGAAGGCAATGTGGCAGACGCCATGCTTCTTCTGCCCAAGACGGATGCTTGTTAGACTCATGCCAATAAGCAACAGTCAAGTGACGATACACATTAATAGAAATGGGTTAATCAAGATGTGAGAATTAGCCAGTAAGAGGCTAGAGCTAATGGACCAAGCAGAGTTTAATTAATACAATTTCTGTGTGATTATTTCGGGTGGCCCGCGCTCCTCTTGGATGGCAGGACGCAGCCTACCGCTCCTCGTACTACAGCTTACAAATGAAGGTGCATGCAAGCTTGCATGTGAGGTTTACGGCACATCCATAAACCCTATTCCACATTGGAATTTCCAGGAATTCATGCTCACTCTTTTGTGTATTCTTCTTCCTCTCATTAAAAGTTAAGATAAGCTAAACACTTGGTTTATTGCCATGGTAGTAATTCATTGACTCTTCCCTTTTCTGACATCAACAAACTTTCCATATCCTGATCACAGAAAGTCAGCCAGAGAGAGAATGAGAGAGCATGGGGCATAGACTAAATGGGATAATAATAAAACAAGATGGGAATCTGGGTTCCAATCTTTGGTATACCAATGATAAGCTGTGTGATTTCGAGGAAGTTACTTGGTCATTCTGAGCCTTAGTTAACTAGCATTTACCATTGTTAGATTCTCACTGGAGAGTCAATTTATGTGACACATCCTTTTCTGTTTGAACATGTTCTGGGTGTCTGGAGGGGTCCAGGTGACTTCATGTGACTTGGGGAGAGGACTACTGAGGCCCAGGCCCAGTCTGAGCCATTGCTAGAGGGCAGCATTGTATCAGCCATTATTCTAATAAAGCTTCCTGGGGTGCGGTCAGCTCTGGATGCTTTAATTGAAAACTGTAGTTTCTTTCTCTTCCACAAAAGGCATTTTTGCAAACGGAAAGTAATTTCTGAAGAACTGCAGAGCAACCAGGAAGGAAAAAGGTTTTTGGCTCCCTGCAAATTCCATTGTTCATTAACAATTTGAGAAGGAGAAAGGGAAAATGCTGCATTTCGATTTCTAATAAAGCCTCTTTCTTTTGATCTCCTTCAGATACAGTTGTGCAACTATATTTTCCCTTTTGAAAATCCCATCAGCACCACCAGGAATGTATCTAGAGGTTTGACTCTAGTCTACAGACAGAAAATCAGGACACTTTAATGACTCTCTCTTCAATAACTTTTTTTGATAACCAAAAAGTAAACATTTAAGAAATGGGTCTGTTATAAAGCGCAATTCAGAAGGCCCTTGTTAAATCTTCTGATTGTTTGCCACATCTCATAGTGGCTAAAATTCTCTATTTCAGTGTGGCATTCTAAGTCACCCTGGTCTGGAGACAATATATATATATATATATATAAATATATATATTTATGGAGACTTTATATATATATATATATATAAAGTCTGTTCAACTCACTTAGCTCTGCTTTGCTGTCCTTCAGCTATTGAAGGTTCTCCACTACCACTGAAGACACACTCTTCTCCAAATTTGAATATGCACACAGGCAATTATCAAGCGAGGTGGGGCTGGCTGCCTCACATGGGATACATTTATAAAGACAGGTCTCAGTGTTCACCAAAGAAAAGAATGGACTGGGCATGTTGCAACCATTGAGAAATGGTGACACACACTGCCATTTACACACACATTTTAATTATTGGTAGTAGCTGCTTAGAGTACTATTGAAAATTCTAGAGTTATTTCTACGGATATGTTCTTTTGGAAAGATTGAGAAGTTTTTAGGCTGGATAGCTTAATTCATGATTTTTCAACTTCCCAATGGTAGTAGAAGCTGCAAATTTTAAATTTTGATCTTTTTCCAGGCTAGCAGGGTGTGCAATAGTGATTGTCTTAGGTAGGGGTTTTATTGCTGTGAAGAGATACATGGCCACAGCAACTCTTATAAAGGAAATATTTAATTGAAGGAGTTCACTTACAGTTTCAGAGGTTCAATCCATTAATATCATGGAGAGGAGCATGACAGCATGTAGGCAAATGTAGTGCTGGAGGCGTAGTTGAGAGTCCTACATCTTGCAGGCAACAGGAAGATGACTGAGACACTGAGCATAGGAAACTTCAAAGCCTGCCCCTACAGTGACACACTTCTTCCACCAAGGTCATACCTACCCCATCAATGCCATGCCTCCTAATAGTGCCTCTTCCTATCAGATTATGGTGACCAATTACATTTAAACTACCACAGTGAAACTGAGCAATGCCATTCTGCTAGACAATTATGAGGGGAAAAAACTCTGTAGGGGACTGTGTGGTTAAGCTCCAATGCTTGCTAGGTTGGTTCTATTAATGTATTTTCCACTTTCAGTTATTCTTCATCTTTGGTTTTAGTAATGCCTGTTAAGAACAGAGGACTGGCTATACAAGTTGATAAAATTATCATCTTTCAGGTAGAATCATGTAGCTAACTTTATCAAAATAATTCACTATTAATTTACTAGTTTAACTTGTTACTAACAATATTAGAAAACATACTTTACAAAAAGTAGGTTATCATTGAAAGAAAAGTGGAGCATGTCATAGAATATCTAGGTTATTGCTGACTTGAGGGGTAGTATGCAGCTCTTCATCATAATTTCCAAGAACCAGGAAATTGAACACCACCAATATTCTTTGGCCTTCTTCTCCTCTTCTGTATTTCTCTCTGCATAATTAGTAGGCAATTTGATTTCCTGGATTTGCAATATCCAGTATGATGATCACCTGTTATTGGTATATATTGAGCAGTTTAAATGTGGCCAGTACAAACTGTGGTATGCTTGCTGCTAAGTAGAAAAATACAACATGCACTGGATTTTGAAGGTCAAGAACAAGAAAAATGGGATGTAAGCCATTTCAATAATTAAGAAAATATTGATTACATGATGAAAAATAATGTATGAGGTGCATTGTGCTAAGTTGTTAAAATCGAAGTTAAAATTGTTAAAATTAAGGTATATTGTTAAAATACATTCTGAATGTAGTCATTAGAAAACTTGAAATTACATACTTGGCTCACAGTATATTTCTGTTGACTGTGCTGGTCAACAGCTTTATAATTAACTCATAGCTACTTGGGGAGTGATTGGGTTCTCTAACAACAAAGCACAAAAAGCAGGAGAAAGGACCTTATCAGTAGAGCTAAATGAAATGTCTATTTCTAGAACATTCCTAGATATCTTGATGGGAAGGTTAGTATGAACACGTGGCATCTCCTGCTGGGATATGAAATTCAGGTGAGCAGAGAGAATATTCCAAGAAGAATGGAGGGGACTGAATGAATAAAGCAGTAGGTGTTACTCAATCTGTAATCATCCCAAATTGTTAACTACTTTTGACCTATAACATGGCAGAAAAGAGCTAGGTGGGCAAAACTAAACTGAATGCTGGGAGAAAGAAGGCAGAGTCAGGAGGCACCATGTAGCCACCAGAGGGGAAAGATGTGATATGTCACCTGGGATCTTACAGGTAGTCCACAAGCCTCATGGTAAAATATAAAATAATGAAAATGGGTCAATTCTACATGTAAAAGCTAGCTAGCAATGCGCTTAAGCTATTGGCCAAACAGTATTACAAAAAATATGATTTCTGTGAGTTTATCTCAAATCAGGGTAGCCAGGGACGAACAAGCGGCCTCTTGCAATACTAAATGTCTTTTCTTTTTTACCCTCAAGATTCCACAGCCAATTATACAGCAAGTTCCACTTCTCTCCATCCTTAATATATCTATCACTGTTAGTTCATTCACTGTCATCTCAGCTAGGGTGGAGACAGTCACTGGCAAATGATTTTTAAATAAGAATAAAGTATAGCCAAGTGACTGTTGTTCCTCTCAAAAATGGTGTTTGTGAAAAGGTCAGATTTACAACACAGTTGTACCGTAGTTAATGCATGTGATCAATGTTAAGTCCCATTGCTTTTCTGAGAGTAGTACAGGCCCTATTTACCAAAGCCATGGTGATATTTACAAAAAAAAACCTATTGTGAGGATCCTTTAACACATAAAGTGCTATTGTGGAGATTGAATGATGCTATAAAAATGTCCATGACATTTCCTTCAAAAATGTCCTAGTTTCAGGGACTGGTTTATTTAATATTACCAGAAGGTGTGAATCTTGTTTCATGAAGATTTCTTTCTTCTGAATGAACTGAGTCAAATCTAGTGAGTGAACTGTATGCTTAAGTTGGGTAATAACAAGTGGGGGAAGGAAGAGAAGAGGAGAGAGAGAGAAAATGAAGAAAAGGAAGAGGAGAAACGAGAGAGGAAAAGAAAGAGGAGAGGGAGATAGAGGCCAGAGGAGGAGTGGTACTGATACAACTGTCTTAGATAGCAGGTGCAGTGGCACATACACCCCACACATGCACATACAGTTTCATCTTGGGGCAGTGAGTAGTCTGAAACTTCATTAGGGATACTACTGCCACTGCACAAAACAAATCTGTAAATTTCAGT